TAAAAATATCACATAATTGATATTGATTTGTAATAGAATTCCTTAATTCTTCTCTGTAAGCAGGTAATTGTGAAATGGGAGCACTAGCAGCTTCACCTTGTTTTGTATATTGTTTGATATTGTGTCTTTGCTTGAATCCTATTAACCATCCTTCTGATGCTTTAAAGTTATCAATTTTAAGAAGTGAAGCAAATTTTATTGCCTTTTCTTTCAAAATATCGCCAGTAATGTCTAAACCTGCATTAATGGCTTGCTCTGTCCAAATAGTTAATGCCTGATCAACTCCTTCATATACCAAACTTCTCCTTTTTTTCTTGTTCGCATCAGAAGATTCTGGATCAATAGCAAGCCACCTATCCTTATCTCCTAAAATATCGCTAACTGTACTTGTACTTATATCAAAAGCTGTTGCTAATTCTTTGTTTGTTGGAATTGGAGTTGTCTGCTTTGCTAAACAAATTTCTCTTTTTACCAGAGCAGTTAAAGATTTTCTTTTATTTAATGACATTTTAAAAAATAATGGAAATTTTGAATTGTGGATGTGAAAACTGAGGAGAGAAATCAAAATCAATTTATTATTATAGTTGATTTTGAAAAAGAATTTAGAATTCAAGAATCATGTAATTATGACAAAACACCTCATTATTAACACTAACGTTTTATTTGTTTTCTATATATACTTTAGTAGATTACATCACATCCACTTTATTTTTGTTCAATAGGTCTTTATTACAGTATAATTATCCAAAACATTTTATTATTAGTCATTTTTATATATACTTTTAGTTCATTACATCATATCTTATATCATTTATTTCAAATAATTGTTTTAATTTTTTTTGTTTGATTTTTATAATCATTTTTTATTTTTTTTTATTTTGCGATTACGGATTAATAATATTAATAATATTAATAATATTGATCTGCATTTTATTTCCGATCACGTGAATCCGTTATAGGCAGTGTTAATTTATATATAAGTCATATGAAGTGATTTTCAGATACAATCCGTTATACGTAATAAAAAGTTTAATTAATAATATCCGTTATAGAGAGAGATTTCAAATAGTAAAAAATCGGGACCAAACTTTTAATCCGTTATAGAGAAAAATCCGTTATAGAAAGATCCGTTATAGACAGTGTAGACTGTATGTTAACATATGGTCACACAACGGAGGTTCATAACTTTCTTGGATTTTTATAAATATTCATTGAATAAAATTATTATATTGTATGAATTTCAGGTTTCATGTTGAATTTAAATTACCTTTTGCATAACATGAGTCAATTATAAGAAGCAACGATTTCAACTTACTCTTAAGTCAAATTATTTTTTAATCAGATATTTTCACAAAGAAATTATGAACAGAAATCTTATTACATTTTTATTCATTTTATTGGTTACGTTTTCCACAGTCAATGCTATTCCACATAAACTTTTTAAAAGAACCACTGAATTCGGTGAATGTTATCACGACCCGGGGACACCACAACCAACCTTAATTTCTGTAACGATTTTACCTGATCCTGTAGTTGCTGGAGAAAGCGATACTTTTACTGTTTCCGGAACACTTACAGAAGACTTGGACCCAGATGTTCGAGTTCTTGTTTTTTTTGGTGATCCTAGCACTGGGAAGATTATAGGTGATACCACTTCTCAACCTGTGTGCGATGATCAAAAAAATACATGTCCAAAAGCTAACAACCCATTCAGTACAACAGTGGAAGTTGCAGCAGTACCCAAAGCATTACCTACTCGATATGATATTGTGGTTGGAGTTGTTGAAAAAACTGATGTATATGGCTGTGCAGCTGCTAGAGTTGGGGCTGGAGCTGATGAAGTTGGAGGAGCTGGCGGGCTTCCTCCTACATCTTATTTATTTTTAGGTCTATAACTTTTTACCAAATCTAATTATTTTTTTTGATAAATTAATTTGTTATAATTTTATATATATTATTTTTACTAAAAGAAAGAAACGTTATTATTATGTTGTTAATATAATTTGTTCATAGTAATAACAATAAAATTCATTTAATTTAATTCATTAACATTTAGTTGAATATTCATGTATTCTTTTGAATTATAACATTTACCGCTTGAACACGCCTTTCGGTTCGAATTTATCATTAATATTAATATAATAAAATCAATTTTTATTATAACTATCTATTTGAACTTGGATATTATTTATGTACGAAAAAAATATAATAAGTATCTTAGTAGATTGTGGCGATCTTAGCTAAAAATACTTGACAATATAAGTCAATGATCTCGTCAATATCTGCTGTCCTTTTTACCATTTTGCATAATAGATAATGCATGAAGGCGTGCGAACTCAAGACCAGTTACCTTATACCATGTATTCCGGAAATCTATTAATGCTTTACATTCTGATTCCAAATTATATCGAAATATATTTCTTTACCTTAATTAATAATCTAGTTTTGTTTTTCTTTGAGAATTACCTTTCAAGATTAATAAATATTTTTTTTATTTTTTGTATAAAATTATGTTTATAAAATTGAAAAAATTCGGTACATATTGAAATCCTTCAAAATCAATGATCTCCCTTGATTTTTTTGTCCAGGCCTTTTAACTAACGAAAAGTATATTCAAGCAAAACATCATCGTTTTACAAGTAGTTTTTAATCACTTGTGTTATAACCGCCTTTTCTATTTTAAAACAATTTGAAAATACGCTGTTGAAGAACTGCAGTCCGCCGGTCTTTTAGGACTGTTTAACATCCCAATTACTATATTAATATATTAATATATATTATATAAATGAAATTATTATCACATGATTTCGAAAGCTTTCTATATATCAATAATAAAGAGGGTCATATTGTCTCCTTTTAATTTGGTTGTGGTTAACAATTACTTTTAGCGAAGCCTTTAGTATTAGTAAAACTAAAAATGCAATGGGCTTAATGACACATAAAATAACCTTTATTTTGTAAAATTTGATTTGCAAGCTTTATAGATCAAGCCCGCCTATATACCTATTGAATAATTGATGATAAACATTCATTTGCAAAACTTGATTTGCAAGCTTTGTAAATTTAATCTAAAATTTCTAATATATATATATAGAATAAAAATTATCTAATCAAAACATTTGAAGAAAAGACATCATTAATATATTGATTAATAATTTTAATTTATAATTTCTTTTTTCTTTTGATTTTGATTCTGATACAATCATCTTGTGAACCACGTTTTGCGACTGGCATTATCACAGGTTGATGAGAGAATGAGGAGACTAAAGTACAAATTCTATAATCACCGGACGATAAACCTTTTACTTTAACTGATAAAATTCCATTTTTATCTGGTTGATCCAATCCTTTAAAGAATGCAAAATCCTTTGCATCAGGTAAATTATTACCATCAAGTTTTTGTATGGTAACGTGAGAATGTCCTTTGATCACGCCATTTTTCAACTGTTGAGGTTCGGCATAATATTTTTCGTTTGGATCGGTGAAGAAGCCGGTTATTAAATTTGAAGTTTTTGTTTTAACTCTAAATGATTGTTGTGATTTTAGTATTTGACCATTAATTGGTTCTATTATTAACGTTGATGGCATTTTATTGACAGATGGGATTTCTCCTTGTATTGTTTGTGAGCAAGATCCTTGACGAAATTGTTGACCGTTTGTTAATTTTTTGTTTTTACATAAATTATTATTAAGTTTTTTATCTCCAGATACTATTATTATGGAAGAGATGGCAATTAAAATAATGAAGAATAAATTAGGTTTCATTTTGAAAAATTATTTGGATGCACCAGGCACTTGATTCCCCAACATTAATTTAAAAGAGATATATATATAAAGTTTAAACAATGCATACATAAATTTAATACAATTCAAAAATATATAAAAACAATACATGAGCTTTTAATAAAATTCAAAATATAATTTTTTTGTGACAGTTTTACGCGATGATTATATACTATATTGATATTAATATTAATATATTGAAAAGATGAAACACATTTGAAAAGTTTTATATATTGAATTCATCTTATTATATGAATTTCTTTATTAATATAAAATTTGTCATTGCACGATAAATTCCTATAATGGGTATATACGTTGCTTTTCAGTTTCATATTCATAAATGACTTCTGATCTTTTAAATAAATTCCGATTTTTTCAGCTAATAATAATACTATTATTATTAAATTCCTGATTATGATATTCATTAGTATTAGTATTAGTCAATTTCCGATTTTTTTTTAATTAATTCTGATTTTCTCCAGTTAATTTCTGACTTTCTTCAATAATTCCTTAGCTATGGTTACTATATAATACGTACTATTATTATTATATTAATATTAAGACAAGTTTCTTTTCATTCACAGAGGAATTGCCATACCTTAAGTTTATTTGTGTCTTCTATTTTGTTGGTCATGGAACGTGTGGGGCTACCCTTCTTGGGCTCATAATATTCACGTATGTGTCAGACGTATGTGTCAGACGTATGTGTCAGATATATGTGACAGATGCATTGTAGGTATTCCTTGAAGGTCGACAATTGCAACGTCGCCATCATGACTGATGAGCTGGGATACTTATAAATGGTATTGGTTTCTCTCATTATCTATGTTTCTGAAAGACCATATAACGATGAAATAGATAATGAATGCTTGTTATTTTCATTTTCTGAATTATTTCTAATAATAATGATAAGGGGACAAAATTTTTTTTTTTGCATATTTTGTCATTTGGAAAACTGTTTATTAATATTTGACGAGTGAATTTTTCAATAACTATTACATTAAATAATAGCTGGAAGAATTACAGAATACTAATCATTTTAAATATATAGATAAGAAAATTTAATAAATATATAGAGATTAATTTTAATTTTATAATTTTTTTTTCTTTTAATTTTAATCTTGATACATCATCTTGTGAACCACGTTTTGCGACTGGCATTATCACAGGTTGTATGTTAAGGGGCAGTAAATTATTCCTCTTCCAATTTTCTTTCCTTTCCCAATTTTTGCTTAGTTGCAGATTGATGTTGACATTTTATTTAGCTTACCTAAATCTTCAATCAAGCTTATTGACGGCGACTTTCTTGGTTCTATTATCGTTGCTGATCAAACAGCTTTCAGCAATTTCATCGGTAACAATGATTTGGCTAAACAAATTCTTGAATTACTAGACTTTGGTAAACTTATGGTTGCTGTATTGGATTTGAAGATAAATGTATGTTCATACCTTTATAAAAAATCTTTATATGTATATAATCAATTATTTTTAGATGGTAAGGTAGAAGATCCATCAAACCACCAGGAAAGTAGATATAACTCTGTTAGAAACAAAACTGAATTAACAAATTTTAAATAATAACTCATTTTCGTGAATCAAAGCTCACTCACTAGTTACAGTGAATCTTGTTATTTATTTACTTTGATCTATTTAATAATATTTTTTATAGAAAAATATTATATATAATAATAATTTTTTTAGTGCTTTTTTTTTTTAACTGTCATTAATATCTTAACAAAGAATAAAAATAAAAAACTTAATTACACACATAAATTAGATTAAATACAATAAATTATGTCATCACAAATGGATGATTTAAAAGAAATGCTGCCGTTGGTCTTTCATCATGATTTCTAAAAAGAACAAACAAAAAATTTTAATTATTAAAATTTGAAATCAAAAAAAAAGAATTTATTTTTTTTATACTTACAATTCAAAAGTCTTTTTCAAAAAATCTACCGCATCATTAGACAAATCAGGAGGAATTTCAGGAGCACATGATTCTGAACCAATCTTAAACATTGCTTGCATTTGATTAAATTCAGGAAATGGATGATCCCCGGTAAACATTTCTACAATCAAGCATCCTAAACTCCATATATCAACTTTACTTGTATAAGCTGTTTGTTTTACTACTTCTGGCGCCATCCAAAATACTGAACCTTGCAATGATGGTCTATGAGCTGATGTTGCTTCCATAAATTCTATATATATATAATCGAATTATAGTATGGTTATTAATTAATTAATATATTTTTATAAATCATATTTTTTTAAAAGAAAAACTTACGATCTTCAACTTTTTTAGAAATACCAAAATCTGATATTTTTATCTTTCCTCTACTATCAACTTTTATTATGATTATGATTATGATTATGATTATTAGTATTATTATAATAAATAAACAAATAAATTTTTTTAAAAAAAAAAACTTGTTAATAAAATTCTTTTAGATGTGTAGATATTATATTTACCTAAAACATTAGCACCTTTTATGTCTCTATGAATTATGTCTTTTTCATGAAGATAATTTAAACCCTGTAAAATTTGTTTAACGAATGATTTAATTAATTTTTCCTTTAATGGACCATAATTGTTAATCATTGTAGTAACTGATCCTCCTGGTACATATTCCAAGAAAATATTCAAAGTCATTTTATCATGTTGTGATCCTGTAAATACACATACGTATATATAAAAAAAATTTTTTTCTCAACAACTAACATTTAATTAATTAATTAAAATGTTTAAATAATATATGTTTATGTTATTTTTTACCAAGATATTGAACTATATTCTCATGATGTAAATCTTTTAGGAGTGCGATTTCTCTTTGCAATGCATCTAACTATTAATTAATATATATATATATATATATATTAATAATTTTTATACTTATATATATATATATATATATATATATATTATTTATATATGTATTTTTTAAACAAACCATAGCTTGCTTTCTTTCTTCATTTGCAGATTGACCAGTTGGTAATTCAACTTGTTTAACAGCCATTAATTCTCCTGTAACAGCGTTAAGTCCAAGATATACACTACCAAAAGATCCCATGCCAATTAAAGATCCTTTAATCCATTTTGGTGCTGAATTATCTATTGTTATTTATCATATTGTTATTATTATTATTACAATATAAAAATTGATAAAAATTAATCCTTTTGATTTTTTTCCTCTTTACCTTCATCATCTTGATCAGGCGTCCAATCTTCAGCCTCTTCATCTTCATATTCGAACTCATCAAAATCATCGAAACCTGCAAACTCATCTGATGCTTCTTCAATAATAATTGAATCATCTGAAAATATAGAGTTGGGTATTGTCAAAGTATTTGATCTATCGTCAAATGATCTTGAAATTGCTTTGGATTTTCTCGAGACTCTTGAAGCAGCTGAAATTCTTGAAGCTCGTCTTATAGAATTTCTAGCACTACGCTTTAATTCTTCACTGTCATGACCAGGAAAATATTCAGTCAAATTTAAAGAAATCAATTCTGAAGGTGGCCTTTGACCAAAAAAATTTCTTAATTTCTGTACTGTTCCAATTTGTGTACTTGGTGGTTTTTCGCCAAAGAAATTTGTCAGTTTTTTATCGCGCAATTGTTGTTTAAATTGTTCTCTACTTATTGGTTGATGCTTTTTTCTCAATATGAGTTTCTCACGTTCTGGTCTGTCTGTACTTTTACAAATCATCTCCAATTCTTCATCAGTTAAACTTCTTGCTAAATATAAATGTATTGCAATGATGGTAAAAATTAATAATTTATATATATATATATAAATTATAATATCTCTACAACTACAACTACAACTACAATAACATCGTATGTGTTTGACTAACCGGCACCAGTATCACTTAAAGTTGTAAATAAACAATATCTTTCAACTTCATCATTAATATTGAATTTTTGTAATATCTTTGCCAAAATGGATTTGGCATCATTAACATCATGAATTTGAATTGTTTTGGTTTGATGATCTTCTCCAATAACTTTTATACAACGCTAATAATATAATAAAGTTTTTTTAGAAAAAAAAATAATATAAAATGTAAATTGAAATATAATGAAAGAAACCTGTTTAACACTCTCGAGTGACATTTTTGTGGCTTCTGCGGTAATGGCCTTTATATGTATATATATTATTCATTAAAAGAGTATAAATTATTCATGATTATTTTCATCATCGATTATTTAACTATTAAACTAACCTTGACAGCCTGCTGTTGTTGATGATGTTGTTGTTGTTGTTGTTGTTGTTGTTGCTGCTGCTTCTGAAGTTGTTGTTGAAGTTGCTGTTGGAATTGTTGTTGTTGCTGTTGTTGTTGCTGTTGTTGCTGTTGTGTTCTTGTAAAATCAAAATGACCACGATTAGCAGAATTTGAACGAGATACAAGCCTAGAATTTGAATTTGATCTTGAAAGTGATGGTATAGGAAATCGATCATTTTCAGGTGAACTTTGTTCCTGAAAAATAATAACCAAAATAAGTAAATAAATATTTTTTACTTTGAAATATAGATAGATATATTTAAATTACCTTATAGTACGGATATCTAATTGAATATGAATTATGATTGTTATGATTATTAATAATGTTGTTGCTTAGACATGTTTTTAATAAGGATTTAACCGCCACCAAAAGTCTTATTCTGTCACCTATTGATCTTATTTTAAGTTCTTTAAGAACTTCATGATCTATTTCCAATAGTACATCACCTGTGATATCATTTTCTGCATGTGTGCATATTGTAAGCAAGCAGAAATTTTATAATTATAATAATTAAAAAAAATCAAACTTTAATATATACCTGTAAATAATCTTTGATATTCACGAAAATTATTTTCTTGTAACCAATTTGATACTTGGTCTAATTTCCAATGTCGAACACTTTCAATAGTTATTCGACCTTCTATTGTGGGTGATGGAGGAGACGAATCCATCGGTGTTAAAGAGATTTGTGTCATATTATTTTGATTATTATTATTATTGGGATTGAAACAATTTATTTTAAAAATTGATTTCTAGAAATTTACTTTTTAAAGAAAAAAAAAGCATTAGCCATTTTTGTGTCAATATTTATTTCTACCCCACAGATTGTTAATATACTGTATAGAATTTCTAAAAATATAATAAAATTAATTAACACTTGTAAAAATAATAAAATAATAACAACAACATTCAAATACTAAATGCGTGTATTATTGGTGTTGGTGTTGCTTTATAAGTAATGCAACTCCAAAGATCTTTGACAGCTATATATGTTAATACTATTAACACTTTTCTTAAAGTTAGAAAACATTTACTCGATTTTCAAATTACCAAGAGCAAGAATAAATTTCATAGCGAAGATGTTAGTAATAAAAACAACTTTACGCAAAAAATCAACAAGTTACAAATGCCAGTAAGACCCAACTATAGTGCACCTAAACTACCAATTGTATTATGTCACGGTAAATTGAATTATGTTAATTTTTATTATTATTAGTATTATTCTTTTTATCAAGTTTTAAATCATGTTTTTTATTTTTTTATTAGGACTATTTGGATTCGATAAACTTGGTTAGTTATATATATATATATATATATATATATTTGTTTTTATATAAAAATGATTACTATAACAAATAATGTTATCATTTAATTAAAAAAAAGGTCCTGATGCAATTCCATATTTACAAATACATTATTGGGGAGGTGTCCAAGAAGCTCTTAAAAAGCTTGGTGCTAAAGTTGTCACTACTAAAGTTCCAAGGTACATTTAATCAAAATATCCTATTCTACTTTAATTAGCGATTTACTTTTATTGTATTTTTATAAGAATTCTATTTTTGGTTTCAAATAAAGAACCGGTTGTATTCGTGCTCGTGCACTAGCTTTACATCGTATCTTGGAATCTACTTTACATGGATTCGAATTGAACTTATTAGCACATTCAATGGTTGGTATTAATTAATTAACTAGTTAATTTAATATTTATGTTCACATACTTACATGCACATATACATACATATCTAGATATACATTAAAGATTATTATTTATTTGATTATTATTATACAGGGCGGTCTTGATTGTCGATATTTAATTACACATTTACCAACAGATAATTGTAGTATACGTTCTCTAACCACAATAGGGACACCACATCGTGGTAGTCCTTTTATGGATTGGTGTAGAGATAACATAGGTTTAGGCAAGCTTTCTAAATCATTTGAGTCAGCTGAAAAGGCAGTTGATGATTTACTCAAAGAATTAGAGGAAAGATGTCGTAAAGTTGAACAATTAAATCAATTAAACACTGATAAAAATCGACTTGATTCTAATAAAATTAATAACAATGATAATAACTCAAAAGACCATGAGATATCTAATTCGTTAAAGAATAAAAAGAACAATAGTAATAATAGTAATAGTAATAGTAATGATAATAACGTTAGCTCATTACTAAACTTTATTTTACCATCATTACCTCACCTTGACTATTATAAATCATTGGATATTCCTTTATTTTCAACTTTATCACAAAAATTTTCATCTTTATTACGTCCATTAATACATACATTGGACACTCCGGCTTATAGTAATTTAACAACAGATTTTTGTATGAATTCTTTTAATAAAAACACTCCAAACCATCCTTCTATATTTTATTATTCATATGGTGCTGCAACTGAAATTCCAATATGGTCACCATTATATTTTCCTTATCAAATAATTAGAGAAAAAGAAGGACAGAATGATGGCCTGGTCAGTTTAAAATCTGCTCAATGGGGGAGATACGTACGTACAGTCGAATGTGATCATTGGGATTTGACTGATAGTTGGAGATTAAAGCTTAATTCATTAAATCAGTTTGATCCTGTAGAACTTTATGTTGAAGTCGCTACTTTATTAGCTAATGAAGGTCATTAACAGCAATAGTACTAATGATAGCAATAATAATAATATTATTATTTATTAAAAATATATTATATATTTTTTACTTGCAAATTTAATTACTAAATTGGTGTAATTTGCTATCTTTTTGTTTAAAATATTATTTATTAACGAAAATTAGAAAATATTATATAAGTGGTAGATGATTATCAGTAAAATTTTGTATTTATATTACACGATTACGATAAAATTTTAATAATAGAAAATAATAATAGAAAATAATAATAATAATAAAATAAAATATTAAATATTAAAATGTTAAATTTTAGTTCTTGAGAGCCACGGAAATAAATTCTTGGAAAATCTTCATATTAATATGTTCTCATTATTCTCATTATTTTTATTATTTATAGGTTTATTGAACGCGCTGTAATTTTTGATCGACAAGAATAAAATTGATCATCACCACTCAATATTAATATATTGATTGTTATATGATAAAAAAAAAAAAATGTTGAGGACAGCAACACCCACTACTATCAGAAGTACTCACGCTCCTGAGCACCCTGAAGTAGACACTTTTGTAACATCCAGTCCTAGTCCGCCTGGAGATCAATACACAGTTCATATAAACCTAATTCCCTTAACTGATTCTGTTGATTTTTCGCCAAAGCAATTGACATTTACACCTGCTCAAGAAATTAAAATCGGTAGAGTCAGTGCTAGTAGAAATCAAAGAGACTCAAGATCAGACAATGGTGTTTTTGAATGTGATGTAATGTCAAGGGAACATGCGGTACTTAAAGAGGATGGCGGAAAGGTATTATTATTATTATGTTTATAGTCATCACGAATAATTTTAAGATCTATTTTTTTAATTTTAATGCAAGTATTATTTAGATTACGATTAAAGACTTGAAAAGCACCCATGGAACTTTTATAAATAGTATAAGATTGGGCGATGGATTGGAGGATAGCGAATGGAAGATATTGAACCACAACGATATACTTGCATTTGGACATAACGTCAGGCGTAATCAGCGTAAAGTTTATTTTTTTCTAATTTAAAACATTTTTGTATTTAATTAAAACGTTGATTTTACTCAACCTCCCCGAAATATAGTTATATATCAACATCTATCTGCACGTGTTTTCTATCCGGAAGGAATTGTTAATACTAATAATATCACAAACGAGCAAAATTTTACTGACAATATAACAGAAACGGTGACTTCTGATGACGTCGAAAATCTTGTAAATCAGAATGATGATGTCATTAAAAATCAAATAATTATCGAAACCACCTCCATAACAAATGAGTCGATAAATATTAACGAGCAACCAAATCAAAAGTAATAAAATTAAAATTATTCATTATTATTTTTCCTTTACAAAATATTAATTTGTTTATTATTCTAATTATTATTAGCGATAATGAAAAACAAAATGTTGATGATGTAGGAGAAAATTCTGCAGTGTCTTTAGTTGATAAAGTTTTTTATAGAAAGGATGTTGAAAAAATAGATAATCGTAAGTTTACAATCAGCTTGTTGTTAGAATGATTGGTGTTTAAAAAATTTTAATTACATATAATAATATTTGTCATTGTTTTAAAGATGATTTATTAGAAAAAGAAAATATCCAAATAGAGCAATGTAAGAAAAGTATATATAACATTGGTATTAATATTAATAATACTTTCGTCTATTCATTTCTTTCTTTGATCCCTTAAAAAAAAGCATCCTCATTATTATTAAATATTGATACAACCAATGATACATACCATGAACCAAAGAAAGGTAAGAATGATCTTTTATCGTTGTAAAATTATTATTATTATAATATAAAAAATAATAACAACTAAAGCTTTTTATTCTACATATATATATATATATTTAAAGATATGACCTTTGAAAAAAATATTGTTTCTGGCGTCGAAGTTCGAGATAAGATTGAACAAAGTAAAGAAAAAAATCGATAATTAAATGAATTATAATTATAATATTGTAATTGATTATTATTTTTAATTAATAATATATATATTTTTTTAACGCATTAAAGCAATGGTACCTTCTCCCACCGAAGATGGACACCTACCAAAACATCTTCTTGTTGACCAAAAAGAGCAAGAAGTTAACCAAGCAAATAGTTTACAGACAGACAGCATCAACGATGCATCGTCATTACCTGGAATTAATGATAAAGTAGAGGTTGGAAGTCCAGAAAAACCTGTTACACCAGCAATCACGCCAGATCATCACCCTGCCTCTCCTATAACTGAAACATCAACTAAAGACGAAGATACAGCCAGTATAAGCACATATCCTCCACCTGATATTAAAATAAAAGAAAATATAGCTTCACAAATTGTACAAGACTCAAATCAAATCTATCTTTCACTTAATGAAAGTATTAATAATTCTGAACACAAAGACAACAGTGACAATTCCGATATTGATGGTGAAGGACCATCTATCTTGAGTCAAGAATTAGAAGAATCTGTTAAATTGACTACTAATCGTAAACGCAAATATGAAGATATGAAAGATGGAAAAGATGAAACAGATGAAATGGACCTTGGAAATAAATCAAAAGAAAAAGAGGGTAATGCATCTAAACGTATGAGACTTGAAATTTTATTCTCGGCAACGGTTGGATTTGCTGTTGGAGCAACTGGTGTTTTTCTTTATTACTTTTCTGGTAATTGAAGATTTTTCATATTAACATACTAAAAGATTATATTGACACGCTCTTACGCTCAACTTTATGTATATTTATTTATTTAGGTTCTCCATTGTTATAAATATGCCGTGTGCTTTCACACACACATATATATAATATATATATTAAAATCTGCTTATTTTTTTTTTATTTTTTTATTTTTTTTTAACAGATTACCCGATTTTAAAATACGCTTTAGTTAGTCTGTAAGTACTAACTAAGGGTATCCGATATATTTTTTAAAAAAAATAAAAATAAAAGTCGATTTCAATAAATTAGTAGTTTAAAAGATTTTTCTTTATGTAAAGGATTGTTGTATTCCCTTAATCTAAGCAAATAAACTGTTTATTTCTGTGGTTTCACAAAATATATATATTAATATTTAATATTCAAAACAAAAGGCAAGTAAAACGGAAAGTTTGAGGTATTCATCCACCTTATTCTGAAGAGGTAGAATTTGACGATGTACCAGGTAATAAATAACGCAGTGGAATATTTTTATGTACTATATCAGATATTTGTTTTTAATAAATATTAATTTTAAATTTCTAAAGATTCGTGAATTGAAACAACGTTATAAAACTGAGGGTGCAAATTAAGATTTTAAATAACATTTTGAAAATGAAAATTATTTATTTTTATAATTTTTAATGAGAAACTGGTGTAGTAATTTCTTCTTCATAATCTCCAAAAAGTTGTTTTTCTAACGAAGAAGAATCTGCTGAAACTACTTCAGATTGTGCTTCTTCAACATCATAAGCAGACAAATCTCCTGAAATATCATCATCAATTTTTGGTGCCTTTTGTAAATAATGGGATTAGTAATTAATTAGTTAATAATTTCAAAAAACAATTAATCTTATTAAATAAATAATTACTTGAAGAGGAGTAATCCCACGAAGTTCTTTTACTTGTCCAACTTCTTCATTTTTCTTGTTTTTTTTTTAAAGTTTCAAAAATGTCGATTCAATTTATCATTCATTATAAATAAATAAAGATCAATCAAACAAAATACCTCTGGTGCAGCAGGTTTATAAGTTTTAATTTCTTTTATATATAAATCTTGGAGAATATCTAAATTAATTAAAGAAAATATAGCGTTAAATTATATAAAATTTCCAATCAAATAATTAATTACAAGAAAAAAAAACAACAGTGCTGCTGGCCAACCTTTCATTAAGGGACCTGAAGAAATTAAAAAACTTCGAGATAATAGAGTTTTAGGTTGTGTGAGATGAATTCTTTGCGGGAATGAGCCCTGATAAATTCCCCCATTCAAAAAATTTAAAAAAAATATTAAAAAAAGCATTTTTATGTGTAAGGTTGCGGGAATGACTACCAATCTTGGTTTTTCAAACCCGTCGTACCCTACAAACCTTAACAAATTGTCTTATTGACTCAAATTCCAAAACATACCCGTATGGGAAAATTTAGTTGAGAAGTAGCAGTAGATGCTATTCTATTGAAAAAATTTTTTGGAGGCATCATGTTTTTATTTGCGCAAAAAAAAAAAAAAAAAAAAGGTGACACGATATATATGTTTTCTAAAATTCAATGTTGTCAATCGTTAATTCAAATTATAATAAAAAGTGCATTTGTCAATAATGCCGGCAATAGCTCAGTTGGTAGAGCGGGAGACTGTAGTACAATTTAACTGTCATCTCTAGGTCGCTAGTTCAAATCTGGCTTGCCGGATAAATTTTTTGCCTGTTATTGATTGGGGACGTTGGGTAAATGGTCGGTCAAAATTATGGTCTTATAAAAATTATAATGTAGAAATTTTTTTCAAATTTTTTTATACAAAAAAAGATTTAGTATAATTTGATTAATAAAAAATAGACAAAATTCAAATTTTATTTCCTTCATAATTGCCAAGTAAACAAACTTCTATTGAATTTGTACCTAATGCAGACATTCCTCTGGCCATGGTGTAATAGGATAACCCTATATGAGACAAATTCAAATGGAATATTTGCTAAATTCATCATGATTATCCAAGATAGGTTAGTACTTTCTACCCCTGTCTGCATATGCTGTGAAATTGGCATGAGAGTAATTTAATCTATATAGAAAAGTGAACAAATTTTTTATCTTTTAAATAAGTTTCAAGTTTTTTTTAAATTCATCTTTAACAATATGTGACTTCTCATTTCTATTGAGCTGTAGAATCACTTTACTGAAGTAAGTCTGAAATATTCATTCATTGATCTAATCTTGTTGCATCACTTCTAACTTGGTTGGATAGCCAAAATTATTTTTGCATTTGTCAAATATTTTGGCTACATTCTTCTGGCTTTTCCATATTCCTTATATTAATTATCATAAAAAAATTACCCAGAATTTTGGCTATTGAATCAAGGAATTCAAATAATTTTGGATACAATTTTGGCTATTATGAAAAGCTATTTTGGTATTTTGAATTTGGTAATTATCATTTACTAATAAAACTAATTTTGACTAACATGTAAGATTATTTGTGTTTATTTTGTTTTATTTATACATATGGTAATGGGAATTGCATGGTTTTCAAAAATCGCATATACTCTATATTAATATTACAATTTTTTAACAGAATTGAAAGTAAGCGAAGAAATAATAGATATGAGTTATTGAATCCAGAAACATGCAATAATTACGTCAAAATGACTAAAAAATTGAGAATGGGTGTTAAAATATTGCACTTACATGCTACTATCTTAAACTTGGAAACCATTCTGATTTTTCCATTATTGCGTGTGGTGCATGCAATAAATAGGACATATTGTATTTATTGAAATTGCAACATTATAATTATAGTAATAGTGATGTCAGCCCGGCTAAGGAATTTTTAAGCGACTTAGCCGTCACGATTTGGTGTACTTTCAAAACAATTTATTCTGCAAAATAAAATTTAATTCTTATCATTATTCACTTTGCTGGAGTTTGTAACAATGATTAGGATAATAAGAGCTGCACAAGTAATTAATATAGTTTTTACTTGATATATGAGAGTGTTTAATTTGATCCATTTCGATTACTATTCCAAGCCCATTATGCTTATTTATAACATTTCTTTGAACATTTAATTTCAAGATTTGCGCTTTAGCTAAAGATTTAGTTCTGCTCAATGCAACATATATTTGACCGTCTGCAAAAATACTTTTATCTATGGAAACAGTTATGCTAGGTTAGGCCTTGCGTTTTATGTATTGTGAACGCAAAGGCATTCATTCTCAGGTGGAGATTGTTTTCCTAGAAGCTATCTTTCCATTGATTTCAAAATAACTTGAACCCACCATCTGCATCAGTAGTTGGAAAGGTAGCCTCTATATTTCATTACCGATGATTTTCTCATTACTCTCACTATCCCATTACAAATATTCTCTTTGAATATTTTACTAACTCTTAAACAATTTTTTGGAACAGTTCACAACATACAAACTGTCAATTCGCAGATATAACTTGTATGATGGCGAAATAGTTTAGTTTCAACATCAAAATTAAGAAATTGAAAATTTTGCATTTTTACAACAATTACTAATTCATCAATATCAAATTTCAATTTAGTATTCTTTATATGTTGATCTTCCAGCTGGATTAGTCCAAAGAAAATTGTATAATAATAAAAATAAATGGTTAATTTGTAATTTTATATCCGGATTTTAATTGATTAACAAACTCCGCAAAAAAAAAAAAAAAAGAAAGCCTGGAACAAATAAATTAAGATTGGCTCTTTTTTTCAGAATGAAACGTTTGATACAGAATCTTTTTCTAGATGGCAATTTCCAAATAGTATCAACTGCACACATTCTTCGTCAAATGAGGACTTCCACCCGAATTACCATCATTACAACATTTACGATTTGATTTGCGTCATATTTCCACATTGCCTTTATTAAAGTGGTCCCATGCAATTTTTGGTGGTCTTCCAGACCTTTTTGCATTAGGTAAATAGAAATTTCGAGTAGAATTATTTGCCACAATGAATAAATTACAAGAAAAAGGTTTTATTGTTATTTCAATTTTCGATCTCGATTTCGAAAACTAGTGTATTTTCGAATTTTCTTAGAACTTAGAGGGGTTCGCTCATTTAACGGAGAAAATCATTACTAGATTTACTAATTGGTTTAAATAAACTATATATTAATTATTGCTTATTATTTTAATTAGTATTAGAACGGAAGTAATGACGGATGTAAAACTATTGGGCAGAATACCTTGTGAATAATACAGTAAGTGGTGAGGGATTTCAAAGAGTCAAGGATGCTCTGGATTATTGAATTACTAGGATATTGAAGGAAAGAATTGATAATCTTTTGATAATATCTAAGTAACATAATCCAATTTGTCGTGTTTAACAATTAAAAATTAATATAAATATTCTTTGAAATATTTGATAAAAAATTATTTAAAACAAGTTTAAACTACAACTGGTGACGACACGTCAACAATCTCAACAATAGATAGTTCTGATTCCATAATATGTGTACATTAGCATTATTTTACAAGATTAACACCTTCTTGTGGTATGGAGGGACAAGGTGAGGGTTATTTGTTATTAGGATAAGTATGATACTTTTATAAAGTAACCATACCATATATTAACAACTATTTAAATTTTCCCTTTATCCTATATAGAACATGTAATAGTAAGGATAATTCTTGTAAATTTTATTTGCTCAATTTGGATGATCATACTACACATCTAAACCCGATAGTCGGACATTTATTTATATTATAAAGTACTTTAAACAATTCCGACTTATGTGTAAATGATGTGGTGATACAACAACTTCCAGTTTCAAACCATCTTACTAAAACAGTTCCATTTAATTGATAGAAATGTCTATAATCCAAAATGAATCGATGCAGCAGAGCCTATTGTGGAAAATGTACAACTTTCATCCTCCCCTCATCTTTGGTTAACAATGAGCTAAAGCAAAACCCCTTGAGGAGCATATTGAGATATTGTTAGTTCATAGTTATTAAATATGACGCTTTTTAAAGAAAGGATGCATGCATGCACACTATTTTTAGAAACTTTCGCACAATCCTATTCAAAACTTTTTGGAAAATGGTTTCAGCTAATTAAATCTCCAAGATTATCATCATCAATAGTATTTTAACTCGCGGTTAGTTGACAATAAATATACCTGAATTTAGAACCAAAGAGTGGAGCATTTATTGTGTGAATTTTTACTTAAATTCATATTGGAAAAAAAGAAATGTATATATATATATGGTGTAGTAGATGTTGAAAGACCATTTCATTGAGTCAATCAAATTTATTGGAAATCGGCAGTTTTAAAAGTTGCACATTTAAAAATAGAGTTTTATGTAGTGGAACAAAAAGTATATTAATATTAAATTAATGAAACCTATGCTTAATTACTACGCCATACTGAAATGTTATACGAATTTATATTTTTACACAATGTCCAAATGGCTTTTTTTTTTTGTAAGAACTATACAATTAAATTTTCAACATGTGATCATGATTATTTCTTTTTTTTTTAAAAGTTAAAATCAACAAAAAATAAAAATATAAATGAATTTATTTATATTCACATTCCTTTTTATAAATTTCTTCTTTCTTAATCACTAATTTTAATTAAAAATAAACATATTAGTGAAGTTAATATGATTTTTAAATTATTGACAACATGTTTAATAATTTGGTTAATAATTTTATTAAATAATTTATTATTGGTGGAATCTTTACCAAATCAAAAAAGATGGTATTTTTTTTATTTTATATTCAGGAAGTATTAACTATTTATCATTAATAATCTTTTGTAATTTATTATCATTATAGGGCTCATACAGCTTCTCTGGTGGATAATTAGTAAGTAATTCCTCATAATGAATGAATAATTTTTTTTTTATAAAAATACAAAAAATTAAAATTAAAAATTCATTTTTTTAAAAAAGTTTATATATTTACGGAGGTAGGACCGCTATACTAATACCAGGTGAAGATTATGACTCACTCAGTCCTGATTATGATACAGACGAAATATTATATTTGGATGTTTCAGTAGAATTTAATCCGGCAAGTCCAAACTGGAAATCAATAACAGGAATTGCCCCACCGCTTGCATTCCATAGCATGTCAATTGGAGGTGAAAGTAATGAATTATTAATAATATTTGGAGGTACATCTAAATACACCATACCATCAAATCCATTATATATATTTAACACAACAAGCAGTACGACAGCAACGAATTCTCCAACAACGGTAAATGTTAAAGGCTCAATCGAGCATACTTCGACTACGAGATATAACGATTCAATGGTCTTTATATTTGGTGGAACTAGTCAAGTTATTACTAATGATAATACAACTGATATAGTTACTGATGCATTCAACGATATGCACGTGTTAGATTCTAAATCAATTACATTCAACACAATTTCTCCCTCAAATGGCGTCTTTCCATTTGGGGTTTTTCATCATAGTTCAACTTTATTAAGTGATAATAAAATTTACATTATCGGTGGTGTTGATAAAAATAACGCTTTCATGCCAATGGGATCAATCAACATATTTGATACTACGACAAATCAATGGTCGAATCAGGTTAATAAATATTTTGAATTTCTAGTAGTAAAATTATTTAAAATGATTTTAAATTAATTTTATTTACTATCGTTATCGAACAAATTATTTCTTTGATATGAATACATTTTGGGTCAGAGTGCTACAGGGACGATTCCAACTGATAGAAGAGTTCATCGGGCTGTTGGAAGTAAGTTTAATTATGGATTTATTATATTTATATCCATATCCATATCCGTATATTAACAATATTTAATTTATTCATAGCAAACGATAATAAAATTATCATTTATGGTGGATGCAATAAAGATTATTCTATAAGTTATTCTGATTTAAGAGTTCTTGATACAACTACACTTCAATGGACAGCTCCTGCTACTCAAGGAACTCCTCCCCCACCAATGTATGCTCATACAATGACAATGGTTGGAACAAATGTTATAATAGCGTTTGGTAATATTAGTAGGCAAAATTTAATTTTAATTATTTTTTTTTTTTTTTTACAAAAAATTCAAAAAAAATTAATAAATTTTTAATTCATTCTTTATTAATACTAAACTCATAGGATATATTTCGGTAAGAGTTATTTTATATATTTAATATGAAAAAACAATATATTTTTAAAATTAATAAATATTAATAAAATGTTTAGGGTTTCAATACAGCACAAGATATTTACATACTTGATTCCACCAAATATACTTGGATGCCAACTTATGTACCTAATAATCTTGAAATTACCAATACAAAACCAATTAATGCATCTTCTAATGTCCCTTCATCATCGCCGTCGTCGCCGTCGTCAGATCAAATAGGTGTAATTGTAGGTTCAATAATAGGCTCGTTGGCTGCTATTTTTTTGATTATAGTCTTGGTAATTTGCATGCGTAAGAAACGTAAAAATGGTTCGTTTTTCACAAAACCTTATGAACAGAACCAACCTTCAGTGCCACCTATTTCAGGTACTCTTCCTTATAATCAGTTGCCAACGACAGTAAATAATCAAGATCCAGCGAGGCAACTACCTCCTACAATGTCACACTTTGTCAGCAAGTCAAATGCAGGTTCTGATAAGGGTAGTACAGCAACCAATAATGAGCATAATGAATCTTACTACAATAACAGTTCTTCTAGAAACAGTTCAAAAACCAACTCGAATAGATTTAGTGTTATACCTTATCTTGATAATCCTTATGGCGTCGAAAAAGATACCACAGATCCAACACCAATAGTCAACCCTACTTCATCATCATCATTATCTTCTTCGCCTAGCAATAAAAATCTTTTTAATGAACATGACGATGATTATGGCAATACGAAGGCAACAAGTGGAATAAATGATTTATATGGTTATAGTAGTCAATTAAATTATAGTAACAACAATAGCGATTATTATTCAGAAAAACCTCAACCTCCAACACCTCCCTCAAAATATGATGATGATGATGGATATCCACAATCAAATAGACTGTCTGCATCTTCCAGTATCTATGCGCCTTCACGCCCTGATTCTCCTCCCTCAATGAATCCTCCGATCCTACCTTCTTATACTGACACCTCGTCGTTCTCCTCATCAAATGAAAATAATGATGAAATAATGAGAGTAACTGATAACGATTACGACAATGATAATGCTGTCCCGATATTTTCAATTTCTCCTGATGAAGAAGCCGGAGTAAATGAACCAAGAAAAGTTGAAAAAAGAGCTTTTAGTTTAAGATCAGCACAAAGACTTAGTAGTACTGTGGTAAGACCAAATAAAGGAACACCTTCAACTACTGAAGAGACTATTACCGAAGAGTTTACAGAAGAAAATTTATAAATTAAAAAATCAAAAATTTTATTTTCTTTGTATTATTATTTTTTTAGAATCATTAGAAGGCATAAATCATATATAAATAAATACACAAATTCATATATATATATCAAAAAATTTTATAATATTTATAGACTTTTTAATTAATTATAATTTTTCAAATTCAAAAAACTTTTTATAGATTTTTTAATTAATCATAATTTTTTTTGATGTTTCTTAAAGTTAGTTACACTAAATACACTTAATATAGTTCGCGTGATCTAGAGACCTTCTAAATTTCGTGCCAATTTTAAAATTCTAACTTTATTATTACTATGTTCATGAGGAATTTGGCAGCGAAATCATATCTAAATTTGGCAACATCAATAACAAGTATAATAAGTTTATGTCTTAATAATTCCATCGTGCAGCCTTGAGAAAAATGTTTCAATTGAATAATTATTATTTATATAAATAACAGATAAATAAATACAAAATCACGTGAATTATAAAGAACTTTTTGATGATTTTAAAAAAACCAAGTGTCATTTATAATTTTTTATAAGTTTTGAGATTACATGCAAAAAGGTTATTTATTATGAATTTGATTTTCAATTTCAATTCCAATTAGTAGTAGTATATAGGATTTATTAATATTTTGATTTCAAAGACTAGTTATATTTTTATTTTCTCAACTAAAAGCTCAAACATTATAATAGAGATTGCAACCTTAGAGTTGGAGGGAACACAATTGATTCATAAGTATGGCCATTATATGTGTGATATATGGGGGGTGGAGTTTCTCTTGAATGAAAAGTAATTTTATTATGAAAATAATCAAATAATAGATATCTTTATCAAATCATTTTACATCTAATCATCAACAATCATCAATTAATTGTATATCTTCCTTAATAAACAGATATGAAAAATAATATGTATGATCTAAAGTTGCCTACTGAAATTTGTTTAGCCTGATGCCAAAAGGTAAAATCTCCTACATGCTGCCAAACTGCTGAAAATGCTGAAACTATAGTTTCAGCTAGGGTTTCTATTTGAATAAAATGAATAAGAATTTGTATTATGAATAGAAACTCTTGGCTAAACAATCAATTAAAATAGTTGATTATTTAGTCGATTGTTTATTTGAATATTTTAGTCAATTATACTAGTAGTCAACTATTTTAGTTGACTAAAATAATCAATTCGAAACTCTAGATTAACTATGGCAAAACTATATTAAAACCTTACTATATAGCAGTTATACCAAAACCATGGAAAAGGTCAGCTACATTTTTGGCATTTTGGCAGTTTTGCATATGAGTTTTGGAAAGGTGAGAGGTATTAACAATCTCTTTGCCAATGATACAATTTCAATAAATTTTAGAGCCCTGATACCCCTCCTGAAGTTTAATCACATCATAACATCATAAGAACACCAGATTTCAATTAGCCTTTGCATGCAAGAAATCGATCTTTAAATATTTGAGCCTTGAATTAATTTCAATACCCTGTAAATTATGGAGGCAAATGTAATTAATTACCTTCTTCTAGTTCCAGCCTCAATTATGCATGAAGTCGAAATGGTTGAAATTATGTCATATCACACATGATTTATCACAAATCAATTATCTTGAGAACCAGTGATCCGAATTTAATGAAACACAGCTCATTAGAATAAATAGTCTCTCATAAAGACAATTCAAACAATGGTGGTTTAATATCCATAGCATCAATAAATGGCAAGTTATTGTAAGATATACATACAGTAAACCAAAATATATTAATAATAAGCATCAGGAAAACATGTTTGGGGTTATACTTATAATTATATGTATATGATTTACAAATGTATGGGGTTCTCATATAATTCCCACGTAAATCATCCCCACAAATTTGTAAATCATATATGTATAATTATATGTATAACCCCATCATGTTTTCCTGATGCAATAATCAGCGATTTGAATTTTATAAATTAAATTCCATTAGACTCATCAAATCAAGAGAATTTGAATGGTAGTTGTTTTATCCAAAATGGCAGGATATTGACCAAGTCATGGTTAATTCAACTTCATGTATAGATGAAAAGTCTGTGTTCAGTTTATTATGAAAAATCTTGATAAAAGAAATACAAACAAGGAAAAGACCATTCTTTACACAAATTTTTAATTGTTATAATTATTATGTATTTTTCTGTATTAGTAAATAAAAGTCATAGATATTAGAGGCCTGTACGGGTCATCATAATTGAATGATTACCCAACCCGAATCCGTATAAATTTATAATTTGCAACCCGAACCCGACTTGTACATAAAAAATTATAAAAATCTCAACCCGAACCCAACTTGTACACAAAAAATTATAAAAATTTCAACCCGAACCCGATTTGTACACAAAAAATTTCAAACCAAACCCGAACCCAACCCGTTTTTATTAACAACGTTGTAACACGATTTTATTTAAAAAATAACAAGAAAATTTTTTTTTACTATAATGAGCTTCTTAATACAAGAATACTATCAATTGTTTGTGGACTTAAATTTGAGCAAAGTTCATTAACTGTAAGTCCAGCTGCACTAAACTCTCTTTCACTAGGTGCAACATATAATAGGCAGCAAGCCTTGAAAGTCTTGGATAAACATGTTGATGGTCTTTCCATCGTTCTAAAATATTAAAGTTATCATCTTTTTGTATTTTTGTTGATAAATACAAATCAACTTCATCTTTGCCATCATCATCATCACTATCATCATAATATTTGCTAAATTCACCTAACTCTACATTTGAATTTGAAGTTGAAATTGTAGTTGATAATGTTGCTTGCATAGAATTATCATCATTATTACTGTCAGCATCAACAATATCATCATTAATTGTTAAATTACCACATTGTCTTTTTAATTTCTTTTTTTACCCAGATACGGTGCAGATCATCTATAATCATTAATTGCTTATAGTAACAATTGGTCAACTTCAAAATACCAAAACAAAAAAAAAATTATATCATTTTAAAAAATTTAACCGATAAGTTTTATTTTTCATGACTCAAGCTTCAAAACTTATCGGCTGGTTTTTTCTTAAACTGAAAATTGGCAGAGCCTTAGCATTTTGAAAATTCCGAATTTTGTTATACATTTAAGAAATTGAGACTAAGTAAATTTCGTGTAACAACTTTTTTTTCATAGAATATTTTCTACAACATACATTTGATTTATTTGATTTATTTATTTCCTTTTTTTATTAATAAATAAAAGTTCTTTACAACAAAAAACTTTAACGAACATATTACATTAAAAGAAAATCATTACCAAATTTGGTCAAATCTATGAAAAGAAAATTTGAGATAAATTTTTTCTTTAGATTTAATAGACTCCCCTTTTAAAGCTGAATTGAATGGTGGTAAGTTTTTTAAAATCCAATGTGTGGATCACATAATATTTCAAAAATTTTAACTTTTGAGTATAGATGATCCGCACTGTAGACTGTATCACGAATTAAGTATTTCGACTTAATTCTGTAATAATTGACGTTTTAATTCCGTGTGACACGAAATTTGCTTGGAATAATAAAATTTTTAGTTTAAAGAAAAAACTAGCCGAGTTTTGAAATTTGACAATAAATAAATTTGTTGGTCAACTTTTTAAAATGATATAAAAATTTTTTGTTTTAATGTTTTGAAGTTGACTGATTGTTTGATAATAGGAAAAAAGTCAAATTTTGTAATACTAATATTGGCATGGTTTATATCAATCATTGTGTATATGTTTAAAAAAAAGTTTCTACATAGTTGAAGTTACTCAACACCTAGTAAAAGTCACTCACTATTTGGTAAAATTCAACAATCTACTATTAATTTACTTAAAATATTATCATAAAAAGTATTTTTCAATTTGCAAAATAGGTGAGACCACCAATAAAATATCCTTTTTTAAAAAATAAAACCAATTACCTTTTATTTTCACAAAAATAATTAAAGTTAAATTAACCTTTATAGATTTTTGATCTTTTTTTAGGTGAGCATTCAAAAATTGATGATGATGAAAATGTTAAACATAAATCTGCATGTTTTGAAGTTGACTGACTCTTTGACATTTGGTTTGTCTGGAGTATTAATCATAAATCCAATTTTATTTATATTAAAGAACACAGAGAAGTTTATTGTACTATTTTAAACATATGGAGCATGCTGCAACAAAACCAGACAAAGTGAATATTGGTATTACCAAAACTTTCAGTGATCAAAATTTAGTAATGTATTATTGAAATCTCCCATTTTTTATTTACAAAAACACAGGATATTCAATTTTATATTAAAGTCACTAATTTAATGTGATTTTCCTTTTGATTTATTTAATTTCATTTCTACTTTAAAATATTCATTTCTAGTCTGTTACTTGATCTCATTATGGTGGTGTTCTGTTAACATTTAACATAGGTGAAGTTTCTTTAGTAAGACGCCTCCTTTTATTTCTGGCATTGGTGAGTGTGAGAGACTTCACAACATGATCAGTATTTTTCAATTTTTCCTGTAAAAATGAAATAATTAATGTTAATAAATCATGATTGATTCATGGTAGAATAATTACATACTTCAAGCTCTTTCAGTATACAATAAATCTCTTCAAGCAGTCCACAAGCATTTTCTTCCATTGGTAATCTACATTTGTCAATAAGTCAAATAAATATATCCCATCCCCATACCAAGCCATTGCATAAAATTAATCTCAAAACCTGTGTTGAAAAAATTATTTCAGTTAGTAATCCTCAAGAAATAGCCCAGCATACAAAGTGTCAACAATATGAATGCAACTGTTTGTATCCACCCATATACAGCATAGTGGACTTTCGATTCGTGTAACGTGACTATTGAAAATTTTCGCCGATCACAATTCATAATAGATACAAACGTAAAATTATAACAGTAAAATAACACTAGTAAAATTTTTATTTTGGCA